AAGAAGGGAGAAGCAAAAAAAGGGGGAAATGAAAAGGAGAAGGGATCCAATCCCCGTAAGCAGAGAACCCGCCTCGCCAAGCCTAATGGCAAGGGGACTGGTCGACCCAGCTTCAAAGCTGAGGGGGACGAAGGCCTGGTCGGGGTCTCACCGGCCCAGCCTGTAGCTTTGGGCCCGGGGGCTGGAGGAGCTGATGGCTTGGGCCCTCAGGTGAGGGCTGTCTCCAAGGAGGGCCTGGACTCGTCAGGGTCTGGATCTGAGGGGGAGGGCCATGTGTATGAAATCCGCCGCAGGGATCCAAAGGAAAAGGGAATTAATTCCCGGGTGGCGCAATCTTCCCGAGTCCGCCAGGCTGTGGTGGCTTTTGAAAAGGGCCTATCATTGAAAGACTTGGCCCAGGATGCGAATTGCCCCTTGGATGTGGAACCTATGTTGGGTGAGAAAGTAGTGGTGGAAGAAAGAATCCTTGATGGTGATGACTTCAACGAATATGGTTCCAATTTCTTGGGACCTAGTGAAGAGGGGAAGAAGCGGCGGATTGAGGAGGTCGAGGGAGATATTGCTGAATCCCCATCTCCCAAAAAATTGTTTGTGGAGGACCATGATGATCTGGAAACGGTGGAGGTAGCCAGCCGAGAATGGCCCCAATCAGATAAATGAGGCTTCTTGCCTGGAATGTGCGAGGGATTGGGCCGTCTCTCACATTCCAAACTGCTGTAGGCTTAATTAAGTCTAATAAACCGGATCTCGTGTTCTTCTCTGAGACACGATCGAGCCGGAAAGTAGTGACTCGCCGTATGCGGGGGTTAGGATTTGATTATTCTTGTTGTTTCTTCGTTGATGCGATTGAGGCATCTGGAGGTTTAGTTGTTGCTTGGGCCCCCGAAGTTCATGCTTCGGTATTTTTTCATTCCAGTTTCTGTATTTGCATCCAAATAAATGAGAATGACTTCTCCTATATTGTGGTTTTTGTTTATATTAGCTGCAATTCCGCTCTGCGTACTACTCAATTAGCCCAGCTGCGTGATATATGTGATGGTTTCCATCTTCCTTTTGTCGTCTTGGGAGATTTTAACTCTACCCTCGGTGCAGGGGAAAAAGATGGTGGTTTACCTTGGAATGCGAGTCAATCTGTTGCCATTAGGGACTTTATTCAGGACCTTGGTCTACATGATCCGGGTTATCAAGGTGATCAATTTACTTGGTCTAACAGACGAATGGGGAGTGCCTGTATTCGCGAGCGGCTTGACCGTGCTCTTGTTCTCAAACCTGGATTGACCAGTTTCCCGATACTCTGGTCAAACACTTCACGGACCAGGGATCGGACCACCGGGCCATCCTGTTAGCAGACAAGGCCTATGTACGTAATAGTCGACCTCTCTTCCGCTTTGACGCCCGCTGGGCGGATAACCCGGAAGTTCGAGCCGTGGTTACTTATGTCTGGCAGGAAGAAATCCAGGGTACCCCGATGTTTTGCCTCTGGGAGCGCCTCAAAAAACTCCGCCACCTCCTATATGATTGGAGTAGAGCGGGGACTACCAACTCCTTGCGGAATATTAGGACTCTTCAGGCAGAGATTGAACAGATTAAAAATATCCACCCTATTGATTGGGATTTGGTCAGAAATCTGGAGATTGAATTGAACAGGCAGTGGGAAGCCGAGGAAAGTTATTGGCAGCAAAAATCTCGAGTCCATTGGTTAAAGAAGGGGGATCAAAACTCTGCCTACTTCCACACTGTTACCCGGACTCGGAGAAAAAAGAATTTCGTTGCTGGCCTCCATAATGATAATGGTGTCTGGGTCACTGGGGAACCCGAGAAAGCAGAGATTGCTGTTAATTTCTACCAGGGGCTCTTTACCTCTGAGTCTCAAATCCCGGATATGACTGATAGGGTGGCTTCCTTGCATATTCCTCCCAGGGTTACTCCTGCCATGAACGCTGCCTTGACTGCTGAAGTCCAGCAGAATGAAATTCGGAGGACGGTGTTTTCAATGGGATCAAAACAAGCTCTGGGTTCGGACGGATTTACTGGGAAGTTCTTTAAGACCTTTTGGGACATTGTGGGGGATTCGGTGATAGAGGCTGTTTGTTCTTTTTTCAGAACAAGTCGATTACTCAGGAGCTTTAATCATACCTGGCTCACCTTGATCCCTAAAGTGGATAACGTTGAGAACATGAAACAACTGCGGCCAATTAGTCTGTGCCAATTTGTCTATAAAATTATAACCAAAATCATGGCTGAACGTCTTGCTATGATCCTCCCGGTTATCATTTCTGAGGGGCAAAATGCCTTCATTCGGGACAGACAGATTATCGAGAATATTCTCCTTGGCCACGAGTTAATGCACTATTTGAAGATCAAAACACGAGGAAAGAAAGGATACATGGCTCTAAATGTTGACATGGAAAAGGCCTATGATAGAGTCGAATGGTCCTTCTTACTTGCTGTAATGAATAAAATGGGGTTTGATTCGGTTTGGCAAGGGTGGATTCTTGAATGTCTCCGGTCCTCCTCTTTCTCTGTGCTGATGAATGGTACCCCGTCAGGGTATTTCTCGCCCTCTCGGGGGTTATGTCAAGGAGACCCTCTGTCCCCTCTTTTGTTTGTGATATGCACGGAGGGGTTCACGGCTCTTCTCCGTAAGGCGATTGTTGAGGGGAGGCTGCAGGGTGTGAAGGTGGCGCCAAGGGCCCCCAGGATTTCTCATCTGTTTTTTGCTGATGATTCTTACCTCTTTCTGAGAGGGACGCTCGAAGAGTGTGAGAATCTCATTGTGGTCCTAAATGAGTATGAGGAATTAAGTGGGCAGAGGGTAAATTTGGATAAATCAGCAGTTTGTTTTAGCAAGAATGTAGCACTGCCTGATCAAGAGTTTCTGGATGCTATTTTGGGGGTGGGGGCAGTGGGTGTCCAGGACAAGTATTTGGGATTACCCACTTTGTTTGCCCGTTCCAAGATGGCAACGTTCCGGTATTTGGAGGAAAAGCTTTTAGAACGCCTTAAGGGCTGGAAGCAACGGACGTTGTCTTGGGCAGCAAAGGAAACTTTAATCAAATCCATTGCTATGGCGTTGCCCTTGCACGTAATGTCTTGTTTTAAACTTCTGGTGTCTCTTTGTTGTATCTTGGATAAACATGTGGCAAAATTTTGGTGTGGGGTGACGGAGGATCATTTTAAGATTCGATGGGTTTCCTGGCGGAATATGTGCCGGAGCAAGCATGAGGGGGGATGGGATTTCGCAGATTCGAACAATTTAATCAGGCTCTGTTAGCCAAAATTGGGTGGCAAATCTTGACTGACCCGCAATCCCTGCTTGCACAGGTTTACAAAGGCAAGTACTTCCCGACTGGGACCTTTCTTACTGCTACGGCCCGCTCTCGCCCTTCTTGGGGTTGGCAGAGCGTCCTCTTTGGCCGTCAATTGTTAGAGAGAGGTCTACGGTGGCAAATTGGGAATGGACAGTCTGCTTCCATGCTTGATTCCAACAGGGTCCCTCAGTTCCAATTGGATCCCATCCAGGTAAATCCGGTGGTGCTTCCGGAGGGGGGGGGGGATCCGAAGGTAGCAGAGCTCATTAGGGCTGGGGAGGGCTGCTGGTGTGACAGTAAACTTAGTCAGTGGTTTGACCCTCCGACGTGTAGAGCCATCAAAGCTATCCCCCTTCCCCGAAGGAATGTGGAGGATAAGTTGATCTGGCATGCGACGGAGGATGGACTGTTCACGGTCAAATCAGCGTATCACCTTGCTGTCACGATGGATAAGAGGAGGGAAGGATGGAAATCTACGGTGAGCTGGATGGATAAGGGTAGCTGGATTCGTCTCTGGGAGGCAAAAATTCCCCCTAAACTGAAGGTGTTTGTTTGGCAGATCCTTACGCGGGTCCTTCCTACTACGGAGGCTCTCATTGAGCGTAGGGTCCCTGTGCATCCAAGATGCCCGATGTGTTGGGAAGGTCCCGAAACTCTTGAACACATGTTTCTCGATTTTCCGGTGGCACGGGCTCTGTGGGACTGTTCGGGGTTGGCCTATCTGGGGGAGGGGTTGCCGCGCCAGACCTTTCCTCTGTTTCTTAAGCAACTATTGGCTCTGATTCACCAACCCTCGATGTTTATGGCGGTGGTTGCCATCCTGTGGAGAATTTGGAGGTCGCGAAATTGGGTGGTTTTTGAAGGGAAACAGTTCGGAATTCCTGTACTAATGCGCCAGTTTGGTCAGCAGTATGAGGAATGGATTCGGTTACCTAAAGATCCGGTGGTGCGGCCAACCTTGTCTGATCCAGGGACACTGCCTCCTATTGGCCCTCCTCTTCAGGTCTGTAGATGGGATGGTGCTACGAGGTGGGGGTCTCATTCAGCCGGGGGAGTGGTCCTGTTTCGCTCGGAAGGAGAGGTTGACATGGTCAGAGGTTTTCAGTTCCCGAGCCTAGATAATCCCCAGTTGGTAGAGCTTCTGGCGCTCAGGGAGGTTGTGGCCTGGTGTGTTGAATTAGGTCACGGATGTGATGTTTGAGGGAGATGCCAAAGTTGTCATTGACAAAATCAATAGAGGCGACCAGTGTGATAGTCGGATGGATGCTGTTCTGACTGAGCTAGTGCAATATTTTCGCATCAATTCGGGGTTTCGTATTCGGTTCATAGGTCGGCGTAATAATAGGGTAGCCCATAGGGTGGCTAGGAAATCCCTGTCCTTGTACCCGACCATGAGTCGTTTCTTTGACTTTCAGACCTGGCTGCTCTCCAGGGTGTAACTTTCTTTATCGATTCTATATAAGATTATCTTTTGTCAAAAAAAATGAAGATAGGTGCCAGAGGGAGTTTGTGTATGCCTCTCCGGCTTAGCCTTTCCCCCATCCATTAGTCAAAACCCAATGACCCTTCAAAATCATCTTCAAATCCATCAGTTTGGCATTTGTGTCCCCACTTGAGGAATAAATTACAAAATTTATTCTCATTTCAATCAACATACAAACTATCATTAACGCCCTTTCTCATTCTCACATCCCCCATTTCTCCTCTTTCCTTGCCCCTTTTTTCCATTTATCATTTTTCTTCATTCATTGATCCAGTTATTGTCTCCTAAATCCCAACCCCATTTCTGATTTGTTTTTCCAAAATTTTGTTCTTTAGAATTATATCATATCAATATCGCATCACATATATTATTCGTGTTTGAAATTTCATCGACTTGTGGTAATTGGGCTCGCGTTTAGAGACCTCGCGCCCAGAGGATGCCACAGGAATCGTCCTCTGAGCAAGACCTTGACGATTCTGATGCTGATTTCGTGGAGATTGATCCCACTGGTCGCTATGGTCGGGTTTGTATGCATTCTTGTTATCTCCTCCCAATTATGCATTCTTACTTTCTCCTCCCAAATATCATTTCTAATGTTTTATCATTCTCATTGTTTATGATTTATTTTTTTAAAATCCAATGTTAGGTCTTTTGATCCTATTCCAACTGGATTTGCTAATTTATTGGTTAACAACCCGTTGAAATTGTTGGTTTCTTCTTGTTGGCAGTACAAAGAGATTCTAGGAAAAGGTGCTTTCAAAAAAGTGTATCCTTTTTGTCTGATAATTGTTGTCGTGGCTCTATTTAATAATCTATATTTCAAAATATTATTGTATTTAGCTCAAATTGTGGAATTCCGAGGTTTTATGCCTTAACTGAGCTCTTGAGGGAGAAATCAGATATAGAGCATTTGATGAATTGGAAGGGATAGAGGTAGCTTGGAATCAAGTGAAGGTGGCCGATCTGTTGCGTAACTCTGTGGATTTGGAGCGCTTATATTCTGAAGTTCATTTGCTCAAGACATTGAAGCATAAGAACATCATCAAGTTTTACAATTCGTGGGTCGATACCAAAAGCGAGAACATCAACTTCATCACTGAGATTTTCACTTCTGGAACTTTACGACAGTAAGCTCTTTGAATCCTTTCCACCTCGAGAAGTTATCGACATGGATTGTACTTTTGAGTTGAGGTATTTTTTTAATTTGGTCAACTAGGTATCGGAAGAAACACAAACATGTGGATATAAGAGCATTGAAGAAATGGTCCAGACAGATTTTAGAAGGACTTTTATATCTTCACAGTCACGACCCACCAGTTATCCATAGGGATTTGAAATGTGACAACATATTTGTTAATGGGAACCAAGGTGAAGTGAAGATAGGGGACTTGGGTTTGGCTGCTATTCTTCAGCAGGCTCGTGCTGCTCATAGTGTTATTGGTGAGGACCATGCTATAAAATTTTCTCTTTGCTCTAGGAATGGAATATTATGGTTATTTCTAGTTATAACTCATCACTTGTCTGGCTTTAGGTACCCCTGAGTTCATGGCGCCTGAACTTTATGAGGAGGAATACAATGAGCTTGTCGATATCTATGCATTTGGCATGTGCTTGTTGGAGCTAGTTACCTTTGAGTATCCATACGTTGAATGCTCAAATGCCGCTCAAATATATAAGAAAGTGACATCGGTAAGGGTTCATTTGTATATTTTTTTCATTTATTTTTATCGCCTCTTTGCTCAATTACATCAACCAACCATTTTTTAAAAAAATTACTTGCTTTTTATTAACCTTTTTGTACAATTGATCTCTCCTAGACCGACTGTAGGGTCTAAGATTTTGCAAATATTACTGGTATATGTCTAGAATCCATAAGGGTTGTCCTTGGATCTGATGACTTTTATTAGTGTTTTAATTGAACTACTAAATTGATTGTTTTTAGGGTATTAAACCAGCATCATTGGCAAAGGTAAAAGATCATAATGTGAAAGAATTTATTCAAAAGTGTATAGCAAGTGTCTCGGATCGATTGTCTGCTAGAGAACTCTTGATCGATCCATTTCTTCTACGAGATGAAGAAATTGAATCTATAGGACAGGGTTTACCACCAAGTGCTACCCATTCAGGTACTTTCACTTACCTCTAAATATCATCTTGGCAAGGTTTATATTATGTTTTAAGTCCTTTCCGTCCTTTTTGCATATTTCTCTCTAATGTTTCTTCGACATTCGCCTACCTAAGGCTACAAATATGCAAATTCATTAATTAATTCATTTTGGATGATAATTTTAAAAATTGCATAACAACTTGAAAATATCAAAATATAAATAATGATTCATGTGGTTGATAATAATTTATGATGGTTTCTCATTAAGTTAATGTTGGAGAAACTTGAAGCAATAATACAAGATAGAAATGCATCCATTTCGTCCTTTGGCCAAAAATGTGATTATGGTGGCGTTCAACTTTGATTTTGATTTTCATATATACCTTTTAATGGGAAATGATGTGACTATTTTGACATTCAACCTTTATTCTTATTTTCATAATTTATAGGTACTTATAATGGGAGGGAAGATGGAATTTTTTTAACTATATTAGTCCTTCATGTTTCAATAAAATAAATGTCTTATTTTTTCCATTTACAAGAATGTGGGAGTGGAGGTATCGATCACACCGATTTCTTAAGAATTGGAGGGTATTGTTCAAGGGATCACACTAGAGACTTCATTGTACAAGGTCAGAGAAAAGATGTCAATACAATATTCTTGAAGTTAAGAATTGCGGACTCTACAGGTTCTCTTTCCCCCTTTCTTATAATTTTTTTTTGTTTTACATTATATATTTTTTTTGTATGATTCGTCCGCATTTATAATTTTCTGAATATATATATCTACTTTTTGGTTTCTAGGTCATTTTCACAATATACACTTCCCTTTTGATATTGAAGTGGACACGGCTATTGCTGTTGCAAGTGAAATGGTTGAGGAGTTGGACTTAACCGATCAAGATGTATCAATGATTTCTGAAATGATTGATACAGAAATTCGATCACATATTCCAAACTGGGCAACTGAGCCAAATGATGAGGTTGAAGACATCATAGATTCACACACCGTTGATAATGAAAACAAGGATGATGAAAATATGGGTGGTGGTTCTCCCTTTTCTAATGAATCAACTTGCTCAGGTGCTCTTGCGCTGGAAAGATTGCCTTCGGGGAGAAAATACTGGTCTGACTCTCCTAAGGGAATTGGACTAAGCTCTCCAAAAAGATCTGAACCATCTCACTTAGTTGATCATGAAGATTCTCACTCTGGTCATGAACATAATCATCATGATAGTGGTATTGCAAGTGAAATATTGGTTGTTGGGGAAGCTGCAAATGATGAAAAAGAAAGTAAAGATAAAGATAGTGTTGGGATTGCAACTCCAGTTGAATTAGATGTTAAGCTAGTGGGTGAAAAACTTAAGTATTTCTTACAAAAGCAGCAGGAGGAATTGGATGAACTAAAGAGAAAACATGAAGGAGATATCTTAGACTTTTTAAGGGAATTCCCTCCTGGAATTCGTAGGGAGATATTGAGTACTTGTACCTTAGAACTACCTAAATTCAGGATTTCTAGGAGCAACAACATGTGAGAAAATAATTTTAGATGTGGTCTTGTTTAGTATTGAGCAACAACTATAAATGGTGGATGTGATTAGGCTAGCTTGGATTTTTGGACGTGGCTTCCTCATGATGGAGGGGTGATATTGAAAAAAGGAAAATGAAGGGGCCAATAACTTGTGAAGATCATAGGACCTCTACAGCGACCACCAGGCAAAATATGGAACATTTATGCATAAATTTGATGAAATGTACTTAATCAACATTATTAGACTTAGAGTCAATTATGTGCATAAATAGAAGGATATGGAGCATTTATTGCAATCGTCAGCTCATGCCAAAAGTTAGGAGAAAGCATTAACATATGTTAGGGTAAAACATTGCCAAATATGTTTCATCTCTTGTGTTTTTTGCCCTTTTGCACAAAAGGAAGAAATGTTGGCTCACTGTATACTTGTATATAAGGTTCCCAATTTTTGCTCAATTCTTTTTCTATATGAAACATACATTAAGGTTGGATTAAAATGTATAGTTCGTTGGTTTTTGTTAAGTTTATTTGTCATGTCAAGTCGAATGAAAATGAGTGTTACCATTTTTTGCCTTGGAGGTTTAATCTTGACTTGAATTGATATTCCATGTAACTTGTGACCTTGTATAGAGCCCCTAAGCTTAGAAGTTGTGTTGGTATAATCATATGAGAAACATCCTGCGATTCAGATACCTATGAGATTGATCTCTATCGAATTTATGTCAAAAATATGAAAAGATCATACAAATTTCACATTAATCTCTGCTAATCTTATAAATATGGCGTAATAAGTGTCATCATTTAATTTGATTTTTTTTTTGTGAAAAACATAGTGGATAGTTGCATTCTAACCCGTAAGTATTAATAAGACACAAGGTTTGAATCTCGATAGTATTGAAATATAGCGAATAAATCAAAGAATAACTTGGGGTATCAATTACATGCACCCCTATAGATAAAGTATGGCCAACAAAAGCCAAATAATCAGCAAAAAAATTGCTCTTTTGGAACATGTGAGTGATCCAAACCTCCCACTCCAGCCCCAACAATCTCTAAACGGTAGTTGTGAGTGTATAATGAGGGTGACACACGGTATCCGACTGGATTAACTAGATTGTCGTAGCAGAGTCAGTTTGTAAAACAACTTTCTGGAATTTTGCATACAAAGCTATACCTAACCGATGCACTAATCTCACCAACATTGCATGAGTGATAGATCGTCCCACGAGATTAATCTAAAAGGCCTTAATGAGTCACCCATCAATTCCCTAAGCATGTCCCCTCCTCAATACTCCTTGGGATGCAGCCATTGAGCCATCCATTTTCAAGCACACTCAATCCCTCAGGGGACCCTGCCAACTTAGTAGTCTTGTTCTACTTTCATTCTCCGAACCCAGTAATAGTCGCACCTTTGTAATGTCGAGTCAACTTGATATCTTAGCTGCTTCGCTCGCTATAAAAAGTGAGTGACTAACACAAGTTTAGGCTAAAAAAACCATAAGTTCACATTTTCCGAAAGTTGCAAGCAGAACATAGCAAAAAGAGAAGAATCAATAATGGTGATTCGACCAACAAGATAGTGCAAAGCCGCCAATTAACATCCGCTTAAAAAACACACTGGGGTCGTTTGGATGTGGAAATGTAATGCAGTAATTGGATCCAATTACCACATAATGCAGTAATTGGGTTTAAAACCCACGTTTGGGAGAGCAAAAAGAGTATGGGAATTGGACCATGGAAATTGGCTTCAATTACCACATTCATGGTAATTGAGAATACTACACCTCCCCCTAGTAATTTGACATTACCACGTTTTCTTACTTCTTTTTCCAAATTCCACACCATCAATTCTCAAAAAACTAAACCCTATCCAAGCATGAATTTTTTTTCAATTTCCACAAGTCAATTCCTTGGTTTTGTAAAACATGGAAATTCAGACAAATTTCAACATTTTCAAATTTTCACATCCAAACGATATCTTATTCTTGCAGGAGTATCCCTGAGCATGCAACCCGAGCATACGGGCAATCTATTATTACTTGGATGGTTATTTCAGCTTTAATGTGTTAACATATTTGGTTAGCTCTAATAGTTGATGAAAGAGATCTTCACAAGGGTCATCTGATAGCTGTGCCATTTGCATCCATTGACGCGAAGTGATCCAAAGCTCGAGGGGCAATCATTTGTGCCACTTCTAATTCACATGCCTGATTCAAAATTATTGTGGTATTTAGGTTAAAACCTTCGCCAAAGATGCCAATTGCTCTTTCCCAAAGCCATTATGAGGGCTGGAACAAATGAGCTCTTTGAATCACTCTCATCCTTCGTACAACAACTCTGAAATGTGTTGTCAAAAGCTAGCAATCTGGTCCCTTAATTTGTGAGTTCTCTAGAGAGGGAAGAACTAGTGCCTCCCACGTACAAAAGTACCATTTGGTTGGCGATTTAGTCAACTCTTATTGTGTCTGGTTCTACACCTAAATACTATGTAGAATCACATATCTCCATAAAAGCTTTGATATGTTTGAATGTATTTTCATTATCCCGCCCTTCAAATCATCCAGCATTCTAGACCATATGGATCGTTGAAGTCCTTAACTCGAAGTTAGGTATAGTAATCAGAGGCATGCCAATGTTGGAAACTATGTTTGCAGCTTGAGGCCTGGTGTACTTGTAGAGGATTCGTTAATCGATGCCTCCGGAGCTTTTGGTTTAGGAGGAAGCTTGTTTGTTTCCGCTTCTGAACATTGGTCAAAGAGCGGGTTAAGACAGAGAGCAATAAACGGCTTGCTCTTAGAACCTCTCTTCTTAGGTGGAGGTGGTGAGTCGTGACTTAGATTAAGAGGAATTGGAAGTACCACTCCGATAAACACTACTTTGGGAATTTTTTTTAAGTTTAAACTTGTTTTTCTTGCCTCTGGTTCGTGCTGGCTCATACACAAAAGACTGCAACAGAGTTTGTACGTGACAGACTTCTGCCTGAATTGGTGCCAAGGCGGCTGATTTTTACCAGAAAATGGCACCATGGCTATCGGTGCTTCCTCTTCTGGATTTAACCCTGGACAATGGCACTAACACACATACTTAATAGAAATGAAGAGGAACACAAATCAGCACTAGGTCGCCAAATCGCGATGGAATTCGAGGTCTTGGTCACTGATTCTTTGCCTTCTTGGTTTGACTCAAAACGCGGACTTTGGAACATTGACTCAAGGAAATACCAAAAATAGTCACGAACAAAATTAACAAAAAAAATGAATAGAAACGAAAATGAAAAAAATATAGACTCGATATGAATATAAACCAAAAAGACTAACAAAAATACAAAATAAAACACTAAATTTAATTACATTATAGTGCATATGCAAATTTATCTAGTTCGAGGACTAGAATTGTATTCTCTAGTGTTTCTCACAACCACCCACTCAGGTGGTGATGGACGTGTTCTATGGATATTTTAAAGCAAATATGGAGGTTGAGACGCATTCAGGATTGAAGTTCCCCTTGGTATAACAAAATCAAAAAGGAAAACAATGCAGAAAATTAAATATATACTAAGGGTGAGTAGAGGAAGCAAGAGGACGAGTAGTTGCACAGCTAGGTCCTCCTAGAGTTCATTTGACTCGAATTCATTATCTTGGCATCATATGAGTTGCTTGATCATTGTTGGGTTTATTCCTACCATATGACATGCAATTACCAGGACTAGTAGGCAATGATGGGGACCCTACAGATGTCTCCCTTGAGGAAGTCGATGTAGTTTGATCGATCGATGGTCAATCGTGAGGGACTATCATGTCCAGTATTATCCACCTAATATATACCAAAATCAAGTGTTTATATAGTTAAAGAACCTCTAGGGTTCACCTACTTATGCAACTAAAGAACTAGCCGCTCATGGAGACAGGTTTCTGGGGGAACATCAGTCAAAATGAGATCCCCATAATAACCTAGAAATCGGTAGTCATAACACAAAGTGGAGGCTAGGCTACCATTTTTGGCACCGATTTACCCCTCCAGTTTGGTTTTGCCCTAAAAACAGGTGAATCACTTTGTGGGTGGAGTAAACGACCCTCTAACGTCTCCTCTCATTTTATTTTTTCAAAAATTCTACCCCATAAAGGTCTATTTATAGGTCTCCGCATAATGTTTTATGGGAGGAAAAGTTGGCCTAAATCATGTATGCTGAGCTCCTTGCAAATCTCGGCTAGATCTGGAGACTCCTTGAAACGGGGCCTAGATGCCATTTTGGGCACGGGTCGACTAAATTCCATGCCATTTTGTGGTCCCCAATCCAATCTTGAATTCTGACTTCCAGCAACTGGGCCTTAATCCCATCTTTCAAGATGGTCTACTAGGATACTTTGGCCAAAAGGCACATGAAAATTACCAAAAGCGCATCAAAATGATAAAAGCAGTCCCAACGCTACTAATATGCACCTTGAGCACTTATCAAGCCAACACAAGTAGGGATGGAAATTTTGACCTGGCCCATTTTACCCGACTCATTTGACCTATTTTAGGAAAAGTATGGGTACTCTTCTCGACTTGACTTACCCTGACCTACCCCATTCAAGACCCGTTTTTTTCTAAATTTCATGTAAGTTTTGCCAAATTACTTGTATTACCATATAGTTTAGCTATAATGAAGTTGTTAATAGGTGAGAAGATTAATTCTTGAATAATTTATCTGAATTTATCATATTATAGTTTGCTACTTGGTTTTTGAATGAAAAATGAAAAATCTAATGTTTTCCTTTTAAATTATATACCAATATGGGTCGATCTACTCTGAATCGCGCCTCGTGATAAATTACTCGACCTATCACGGACGGGTATGGGTGTCGAAATACTCGCCCGAGATATGCTCTATTGCCATTCCTAAACACAAATTATTATGACACTATAAATGTGTAATTCATGGTTCTTCTAACCGTACTAACAGAGTATTAAATTTTACTTTCTATGTGTCGTCAATAATAAAGAGGTTTGTATGGTGTAAACAGGAAGCAAAGAAAGAATAAACTGGGCGAGCGTGATACTCTCTTGTGGCGTTCCCATCAGATTGACGGCAGGATGATCAATAGAGAGAAGGATGATGGATGACCTCTATGTTGCCGCGACCCTCAATCCTCCTCTTATGTTTGACTTGGACAGAAAAGAGAGTAGGGTATATGAGAAGAAGTGGCGGCTAAGGTTCTACTGTTGGAGAGTATAGGAGAATAAGAGTTGTGTTTTCTTCTGTTTGTTGGGTCACAGAGGGAGTGGATTTGTGTTATATTTGTACAGGAAAAAAAACAATGAGAAGCGAGAAGACGATAGTGAAAAGAAGAAAGAAGTGTGCCGCTAGGGTTTTTCCTTACATTTATCCATTCTCTAAAAAGACAATTATGTGTTTTGCCTTTTTTCCAAGTCCACAACCCTACCAACATTTTCTCTTTCATGTGGGTAGGCGATTAACCTCTAACCGCATTGACCGTCACGGTTAATCGCTAAGTCTTAGCGGGTCAGCTAACGATAATGATTTTCTTCTTGATGGGTAACTGCTAACCGCATTATCGATTAACGGTTAACCGCTAACCGACCCGACTATCACTCCTAACTAGCATGTGCCCGGCCTTTGGCCGGAAGATTTAGATTTTTAGTCGTCGTTCATAATATATTTAGCATCTTTTTCCAATTAATTAGATGGTTTAAATTTCTTAAGTTAGGGTTGTAACTCATATTTTATTTTTCTAGTTTAAAATTTTAGAGATTTTGTTCTTATTCGTATTAGATAGTTTCTCATCGTTAGTCAACTGTTTGGATTTTCTAAATTTCTTAAGGTATGGTTATAACTCATTTTCCAAGTATGAAAATTTTGATTTAGTATAAACTCTCAACCTAAAACTTCTCATACCTGACTATAGAATCGAGTGAGATTTTCGGACTAATACAACCAATGTATAGGCAAAGATGAGTTTCAAATGAAAATGTCCAATATATAAGATGAGCTATTAATCAAGAACTTAATGATTCCATGTATTTTCCCCACGGCATAACCAGATTTAATTTTCTCATATTTTAATATATGTCACCTATTAAAGTTGGTCATGTTAGCAGCCTAGGTTTGAAATGAAGGTTGATAAAGTTACACACTAAACCTTTTATGTAAGCCTTCTTCTTTGGTTTTAGCACTTAGCCTATGTCACACGGTGAAATAAGTCTGCTTATGGCATAGACACATATTTAACTTCGCTTATAAAAAGTTCAATATTAAAGTTAAGGGTGTGGATAATGTCTAAGACACATTAAGAACAACACATACCCCTAATTGAAAGTTATAATTATATGTCGTATGTATGGGATTTGTATATCATACCTTTGATTTTGTTTAATATACGATATAATTTCAAGCTGGAAACATATTATAAATTTTTACAGACTAATATAGAAAATCAAATCAAAACAAATATAAAATAAACAAAAAATGAATTATTATAAGTAAGCAGCTTGATGAAAAACACTATAACAAAAGAAAAATGAATATTATAAAACATATTATTCAATACATTTTTTACAAAATTAAAACAATTTTTTAATTAACATTTCAATATTTTGGCCCTAGATCATAATGTAATTGACTATTTCTGCTGTGTATAATTTAGATTGCAATCATGGCATGTTCGTAGCTCATAGTGGTCTATATATTTGCAAGATATTTTTTATCGATAGTAGGGAAGAAAGTATTTGTAAGATTTTGATAAAGTAAAAGGAAACTAATAAAAAGAAAGAAATAAAAAAGGGTTGGGTTAGGTTAGCGGCGTGGATGCTGGTGTGGTAGTGGGAGAGGTATGGATGAAGATACCATGTCGTTTTAGTGTCACTTTTGTTTTGGTTTGGGTTTAAGGACTTCAATTCACAAACAATGGGCCGCCGGCCCAAGAGCAATTGTTACTTAGTATTATTAACTACCGGCAGAATGGAGTAGTTTTCTAGGATAGAATTTGGACGAAAATATCCTTACCGAAAATTAAGGGGAGGCCAGGAATTTTTGAATGGAGAAAACCCAATAAAACTCTACTATCTATTATTCTTTAGATATTCCTAATGACTACAGAGAAGTCCAGAAACAAGGAATAGTTGACGGTCTTCCTTCATCCACGTACCAGAATCTGAATGGAAGTATCATGGGCCAACTGGATCCCACATGGAGAGAGAGTAGTAGACTGAACTAAGGTCTAAAAGGGTGGACTGGAGTGGAGTGGATAGCAAATACCCACAAAACCCCCAATCCTCAACCAGATAACAAACCCAATCCCCTCCCAACTCTCTCCCATCTCCTCTTCCTCTGCTCCGCCTCCGCCATGGCAATCTCCGCCTCCGCCACAGCTTCCACTTCCTCAAGGCTAGCCGCCGTCTACCCACCAGCCGCCGTTTCCCCCTCCTCTGCGGCCGCTATTCCTACTTTCAACTTCGCCTCGAAACCAGCCAAATTGACCCTCCTCTCCTCCTCCTTCATCTCCCCTTTCCTCCCCACCACCACCACCACCACCTCCCTCCCGCGCCGCCGCGGCGGAGCCTCATTCACAGTACGGGCGGCGAGGGGAAAGTTCGAGCGGAAGAAGCCCCATCTCAACATCGGCACAATTGGCCATGTCGACCACGGCAAGACAACCTCACCGCCGCCCTAACCATGGCCCTAGCTTCCATGGGCAACAGCGCCCCCAAGAAGTACGACGAAATCGACGCCGCACCCGAGGAGAGAGCCCGCGGTATCACAATTAACACCGCCACCGTCGAGTACGAGACCGAGAACCGCCACTACGCCCACGTCGACTGCCCCGGCCACGCCGATTACGTCAAGAACATGATTACCGGCGCTGCGCAGATGGACGGGGCCATCCTCGTCTGCTCCGGCGCCGACGGGCCCATGCCCCAGACGAAAGAGCACATCTTGCTCGCCAAGCAGGTTGGTGTTCCCAAACATGGTGGTGTTCTTGAACAAGCAGGACCAGGTGGATGACGAGGAGCTGCTCCAATTGGTCGAATTGGAGGTTCGTGAGCTGTTGTCTTCTTACGAGTTCCCTGGTGACGATATCCCCATTATCTCTGGTTCAGCTCTTTTGGCATTGGAGGCTTTGATGGCCAATCCAGCCATTAAACGAGGGGACAACGAATGGGTTGATAAAATCTATCAGCTCATGGATGCTGTGGATGAGTACATTCCAATCCCACAACGGCAGACCGAGTTGCCTTTCTTGCTTGCTGTGGAAGATGTGTTCTCCATCACAGGTCGTGGCACTGTGGCCACTGGCAGGGTGGAAAGAGGAACCGTAAAGGTTGGTGAGACAGTTGATCTTGTGGGTTTGAAGGATACTAGGAATTTCACTGTTACAGGAGTTGAGATGTTCCAGAAGATTTTGGATGAGGCGTTGGCTGGGGATAATGTTGGGCTGTTGCTTAGAGGTGTGCAGAAGGCTGATATTCAGAGAGGGATGGTGTTGGCTAAACCCGGGTCTATTACCCCGCACACTAAGTTTGAGGCCATTGTGTATGTGTTGAAGAAGGAAGAAGGAGGGAGGCATTCGCCCTTTTTTGCAGGTTACAGGCCGCAGTTTTACATGAGAACTACCGATGTCACCGGGAAGGTTTCGTCTATCATGAACGATAAGGATGAGGAGTCGAAGATGGTTATGCCCGGTGATCGAGTAAAGTTGGTGGTGGAGCTCATTATGCCCGTGGCTTGTGAACAAGGGATGAGGTTTGCTATCAGAGAAGGAGGGAAGACTGTTGGAGCTGGTGTTATCCAGAAAATCCTTGAGTAAGATAGTTTTGAGAGACAACCGAAATGGATTTGATTCTATTTTTGTCTTAAGGATTTCGATCTCCTTCCTAAATCATCTACTGTATGCAAGTCAGTTTGATAATTTCCGGAGAACACTGAATGCCATGCCATATATTTTTTTGTTTTTGCAGCTTTGTTCTTCTTTTGCATTTCTCCCCCTGATGCTTAGTTTAGATTGAAATTCTAGCGATGATTTAATGTGACTTGTCTTCAATGTTCTATGTTGGTATCCAATTGCTAGTCTCATATTACAATTGTGTCTTTGATTATTGGTTGGCAGAAGGTGATCTTCAGATTATGCCTCTTTCTCTGGGTATATTTCTCTTTGTCGTTGCACTTCCATACCTTTGTGGCCGTTTCAGTTGCTTTGCCACAACCAATTTGAGATAACAAAGCAGAATGTACTAGTTTGAGTTTGCAGGTTTTATTTGCCTTAAATGTGGAAGAAAGACTTGGAATATATGTGTATATAATGGTTTCATCTGACTGTCGTTTTGAGTTGTTAGAGTTCTGCTCCAGACTTTCAGTAGTTCATGGGATGAACGAGCGGCGCTATGCTATCCATGTTCGAAAGAGCAGCAAATGCGTAGTGAGGTAGTAAGCGTTAGTGGGTTGCTCTTGTGATGGTGCTCTAGCTTCATGTTGATTGTAGTTGTCCTTCTGGTACTTATCTTGCTTTTTCCCATGGAGCTTTTCCTTATTGGTCAAGTTCCGACTGATGGTAGAAGTTTGTGATTGATGGCTCATCCATTTTGGTGCTTGTTCTTCATGTTTGACTGTTTCCTAGTTTGGGTTACCTTATAGATGATGATCAGGCCAGGCACAGAGAAATGCCGTCAGCCTTAATGTAGCTGATTCTGGTTAGACGTACCATTTGATGTTTTTATCTCTCTGCCTAAAAATTCGTCGACTGGTCTGCTCAGACTTGCTAGTCATAAGAAAGTCTAGAACACATTTCTAAAGATCACAAGTTCCATGTCAATGCCAGACTGAAGTGTGACGGTAGAATACTCAAGAAGGCAAATGTACATCCATATATAAACCTAATCTTGGCCTAGAAGTTCCGATCCTAAAGCCTATAAATACACCTCTTAGGCGTTATATGAAGCCATTATGAATTCTTTGGATAAGAGGCTCATTTTAGCCTCAAAACTTTGTTAGGGTAAATTGCAAAGTAACCACTGAAATTACTAAAATATTTGATGTTTTTCATTAACAATATTTTTTTTTTGTCACTAAAATTTGCTCAAAAGTTCAAATTTGGTCACTGGTCGTTACCTTTCCTTAGCCTTTGTTAATGGTGTCAATTTTTTTGCTGACGTGGCTAATAAAAATGTCAACTCAACCAATTAAAATTCGAACCACCACGTCATAGTAACCCGTCATGTCATTAAAATTTGACTCATAACCCAACCCAATTTAACCCATACAAATTAATACCTACCCACTAGTCCCGATGCACACGACCTATCCCTACTCTCTTCCCTAACCTAATTGCCCAATTCCTCACTGTCGTAGAAACACTCCTCTCATATCTCTCCATATCTAAACAACTCAAACCTGAGAGGAGGCCTTAGCGGAGCTCCGACTTGTCACAAAGCACCACAAAGAGAGCCTTTCGTTCGTCACCGAAGCAAAAAGTCGTCCCACCACTGTTCTTGCGAGAAATTTTTTGAATGTTACTCAAGGGAGTCTTCCCAGCAACACAAAAAATAATCCAAAGAAGAAGGACATCAAAGCTATTTCTACAATTGTAGGAGCATTCCAAAGTTGTTTAGGCAATAAGGGAGATGATGAGCAAATTTCAAGAAGGATGACCACCTTTGAAAGAAAGAATCACCACCCTCCTTTTTGAGATCTGATAAAAGCTCTAGGAGGAGAAGATGTTGCTATACCATTGCTAAAAAGCATCATTGCTATGGAGAATCCGAGGGAGAAACTCGAGATACTTCTTGAGGAGGATGAGAGGTTTGAGCAGAAAGAGACCACTATCAAGTCAACCCCTTAGGGTTATGAAGAGTTGATCCTAGTTCATGAACAAAAAGAAGATCCTAGTTATTGCACAATCAAGTGTCTTCTAGATTATCATCATGTGGAGAATGGATTAGTTGATCTTTGTTCCATCATCAACATCCTACCTCTCCAACTCTAAGAGGACAAGGGGCTAGCGGATATGAAGGATATTAACATGGAGATCCAGCTTGCAGACAACAATCCATGTTAAGCTCTTGGGATAGTAAGAGGTTTAAGTACCCGAATTGGGTCTTTTGTCTTCTTTCTCAAATATGTGGTGTTCGTCATGAAGCTAGCTGATTCATATTCATCGCTCTTCGGAATACCATTTCTTGCAAATTTTGGTGCTAAGATCGATGAAGCAAGGGGAGAAATAAGTTTAAAAGTTGTAAAGGTCATGCACCAAGTAGGGAAATCACTCCACTTCGTCATTTGTGTTCCTATACATACATTACGAGCTTTAGCATAAGTTTGGTTGCTATGAAGGTTTGTCATGGGAAAATCACTCCACTTTGTCATATTTTATACTTGTTTGGTGTTTGTGATGAAATTACAGGTCTTTCACTCGTCTAAAATGGATTGGGGATCAATTTGGGATTCATTCGAGCATGTTTCCATTATATAGGAGCAAGAAGGGAGAATTTTACAAAGAGAACGACCTCAGGTCACGACCGTGACCTCTAGGCCGTGATGCACCCTTCAAGACAGAAATAGATAGACAGTTTCACACACCGACTTGCAGGCAAGAAGGATTCCGACTGCGAGAAATACCACGACCGTGACTTTGAGATCATGGATGTGAACTCATAGATTGAGGTCGCGATCTAGTCTCTTATAAACAAGTCAAGACATCGAGTTTTCGATGATTTGTCATATTTGTCAAGGGGGTCAAGCCCTAGGCCATGACATGCACCAACAACTCTATAAATATCTCTTTTTGCACTTGATGAAGGAAAGCCACCCTAGAATGAGAAAGTAGGGTTTTTGGCTGTCTTTAGTGAGAGAATATGCCTTGGAGGAGTTAAAAAGGGAGGAATCCATCCAAGAACCACGGGCAAGGGTGCAATCCAAGGAGAATAAGATGATTTCAAGCTTGTTTCTTCTTTCTAGTTTGTTTTTCCTTTCTCTTTATATGACTTGATCCCTATGGTTGTTTAGGGGAGTTGAATTCCAGTATGTAGCTAGATATTTTTGACTGAATGTGAACCTAGCTTTAATTCCTATCTATATATATGTTTGTTTGATGTTTAATCTTGGCAATTGTTAGAAACAAAGTTTCTAATGGGTCTCCAGATCAAATTTAGAGATTGAGAATTTAGGTTTTATAGAACAGAATTGGGGATTTAGGGATTTGAGAAGAGAATTTGGGGAAGAACAGAGATAGAATGGCCGAAGCCTTTAGAGAGAAAGATAGACGAGATTGAGAGAAGATTAGGGATTTGGGGAGATGACTTTTCTTATTAATTTCTGCTTAATCTGATGAATGACCCAAAGTACATATATATAGGGAAATACTAGAAAACCCTAAGAATAAACCTAATTCTACTAGAAGACTACTAACCATATTTAATAAAACCTAATAATAATGATAAGGGTTAATACCTTATTTTGGCCCGAACTATGACCATATAATCAACTTTGGCCCGTGGTTTCAGAAATTAGCATCCTGGCCTCAACTATGCAGCATATAGACTCAATTAGCCCGACACATAGTTTGACCGTCAATTTGATGTGAAGCTGATGTGGATGCCACATATGCTCACACATAAGCTCCAACATGCCACATTGGACGCCACATCATATTAAAAAAAATATTTTTTAAGAAAACAATTTTATCTTATAATAATATTTATCTTTTTCTATAACCGACCCCACCAATGCGTTCGATGATGGATCTGGCCTGGGCAAGAAAACGATAATCGAAAGGGCGACGATACCTCTGCCTCTGCATAATCTGGAATTCCATCAGCGCCGTCGCCAATCCTCCCGCCGCACCCACCTGCTCCGTCGCCGAGCAGATTGAAGATACTAGCGCTCTCCTGATGATGCTTTCCTGGAGAAGACGACGAGAGATCCGTCGCTAATCCCCACCCTATCCTTCCCCTTCTTCCTTCTCTTCACGTGATGATTCCGTAACGAAGATGATGAGAGCACTATGAGAATCTATTAAAGAAGCTAGAGGTGGTACTGACGATGAGGTTACTCAAATCCCAATTTTTTAGAGAATCAATTTGAAAGGGATTTTTTACCCATAAACCCTAATATGCTAAGCTCTAATCTGGTTGCCCATTTTGTGAATGAAAAGAGCTTGCTCACGGGAGTTCATACGGAGAAGAAGCCGGAGTATTTACTGGAGCTGATTGAGTTTGGCTGCTGTTGCCGCTGCTGAGACTTAAAATTTGGAGGTGGTTGGTTGGTGGGTGTCAAAGATTGATTTCTATGGAAATAGAGGGATTGATGTCGGGAGAAAGATGATTTTCATTAGCTCCACCGACGAGCTGTTCTTAAACGGCCAGATCCGGCCTATAAAGCTCTCGACTGACCTCAAGAAGCTACTAGTCCTCGAGGCATTACTAGATTTCGACGAGGAAAAGGAGAAGAAATAAAAGAAGCATATATAGGGCGAGAGAATCAGATCACGTTGCTGGCAAGAGCAGGGGGCGAGAGATCAGATCCATGCTGCCGCTCCCCAGTTCCTTCTTTGAGTTCGCCGATGACGATGGCGGAGAGGAAGAAACGATAAAGAAAGGCAGGGAAGGGGGAAGGGGAGGGTTTCACAGGAAGCCATAGAGTTTATTATATTTTTGTTTTCCCATTAAATTAGAATAAGAAAATAGCTTTTTCCACCTAGTGTAGCTTTTGTAAAAAAATTGCCACATCAGTATAAAACGTTAGTCTAGTCAGCACCTTTAATAACACCGTTAAAGTTATGAACGGAATGGCTATTTTTTTAGTGTATTTTTGAAAAATTGGCTATTATTGTCACAAAATGCAAAGTTATGGCTATCCATATGTATTTTGCCTTACCTTTTTAGCCAAACCCAAATTCTCTTCGTAGTTCGTTCCAAAGAAGAAAAGCCACCCTTTCTTCCTTTCTTCCCCCGACCACACTCTTCTGGTCCTGCTAGCTTCGCTTTCATCCATTTTTCCCCAAACCACCCTCTTCTGGCCACCCCGCCTTCCTCACCGTCGCCCTGCATTTCCCTTCCTCATATGCCCTTTCGACGCACTCACAAGCTTCTTTTGAACTCCCTTTCCCCTAATGTTCAACCCAGCCACACAAACCCTAATTTCCCAGTTTTAGGTGCTCCACCACCTCCGCCTCGCACCATTGGCAACCGTCGCGACTTCGCCTCGGTTCTTAGCTCATACGGAGAGATGTGCTTCTGGCCAGGCAGGTGCGTTCGTTCGCATCAGAGCCCCTCCTCCGGCTGCCTTGTCCTCTTCCATTCTCGGCCCTTTTTTATCAGTGGGCTCCCGAGATTCAGTTTTTACTCCTCCTCTTTCTGAATGGACGGTCTGATCTCGATTTCACTCACACATTTGGGATCGACATTTCCGCTTTGGGTGAAATGAGGGTATGTAATTGATCAAATTGTGAATTTTTCAGTTTTCTCTGAACTAAACATATCTCCTTCCCATTGAACATGGATTTGAGGTATAGGTCAGTGATAACAAGGCTTCACAATTTTTATTTTGCTTGTTTCATGGTGGATAAGCTGTGATTTGAGGTATAGGTCAGTGACAACGAGGACGAACGAACACCGAATGTTCCGGATTTGTCCTCTGCCTTTCTGAATCTGATTCTTTTGAATTGTTTTGTTGCCACAGGAGCAAGAAGCTTTGGCAGATCTCATGAAGAAGACTGATTTAGTGAACAAGTAACTGAAGCCACTAGGGCAATCAGTCCCGAAGAAGGTATAGATATAATAATAAACAGCAGCTAATTGCTTTTATATGAAAACCCCCTTTTATGGATTATTGTCTAGTTTGTCTTCTATATATATATATATATGCGGTTTACAAAGTAACAGTGATAACTTTGTGGGTTGTTTTTGGGGTTTACAGGAGAAAGAGTGCATGGATGCTCTTCAGGCTTTTAATGATAAGAACAAGGAGAAAGTGCAGCTGGTTACCAAGCTAATCGGATGGAGTCCATGGCACATATTTTTTTGGTAGAAGAAGGATGATTTTGAACAGTTAACTCTAGATAGATTGACAGTCTTTATGTTGACTTTAGAACCATAGAATTAATAATTAGTTAGCTTATAGAAGTAATAATTAGTTAGCTTATTGAGGAGATGTAGATTGTAACAGTATAGAATTATTGACTACAAGATTTGATGACTTTCTATTGTTGATAATAATATTATTTTGTTGTTATTTGGTGGCCAGAAACTTTAATACATGGTTTCTATATCTAATGATGAAAAATTCATAATTAATATTTTTTTATGATATTGTAATTAATCATAGGAAATTACCGTGATTAGTGGTTGTAATTAGCTATAGTCATATACCATGACTAGTGTTTAGTATTTAGTCATGGGGAACCAATGACTAAATGCAGTAAATATCGTGACTAGTGATTGACATCTAGTCACGGGAATAGGTTAGTCACGGTACACAATTAGTTACAGAGCTTTATATTACGGTAATTTTTTCGTGACTAAAATTATTAGTCACAGGAAACATGCTTTTATACACTGGATTTCCCATGACGAAAGAACCTTTTTCTTGTAGTGAGTTAAGTTATTTGATGCGCTGGCCCGAACAACCCGAAACCCGATCCGCCCGCAACCCGCCCGACCCAAAACCCGATGAACCCTCAACCCGATTTGCCCGCAACCCGATTTAACCCGAACCCGATGAACCCGCAACCCGACTAACCCGCAACCCGTTTGAACCCGAACCCGATGAACCCACAACCCGACTAACCCGCAACCCGTTTGAACCCGAACCCGATTGAACCCAGCCCGAACCCGCCCGAACCCGCCTGATTGACACCTATAAAGGTGCTATCTATTTGACCCAAAACTAAGCGTTTTGGTTTCGTCTTGGGGTTTACCATTAATGTATTGTTTCTTAGTGAGCAAGCTAGATACACTGATCGCGATTAAGGATGGCAATCAAATCCGTGCAGTGATCATGGGTGCCCAATCATCTCAGACCCAATCAACGTGGGAGATTCCTAAATTGAATGAGTATGGGAAGGGTATGAGTAAAATTTGTAAAACGGTCCCACCAAGAGCATTTATTCACATATAAAAAAAATGTATTGATCAAATTGCAACGTATCACTGATAATAAGGGTATATCAAGAAAATAAATAGTAGAAATGCAATTGAGTGACCACTCAAATCAAAACCTAAGTAATCTCCCTCAATTCTCGTTAGGCTCTTTCATTTTTTCCCTTGTTAAGAAGAATATGTTAGTTATTAGTAGAAGCATTAGAGTTAGAGAATAATGATTTGAAAAATATTGTACTCTATCTTGTGGATTAATGGATGTTTTAGCATTAGATATTTTGAACCATATTAAGAATGATTGTATATTGCTGAGTTCATGATATAGTAGGTCTGTTTAGTGTTGTATTAAAATTTACATGTAAAATTTTAGATAAAATAATGTTGGATGTATGGGGACGGGTTTGCGAAACCTTTCCCCAAATGGGTATGGGCGGATATGGGTTAAATATTTGAGAATGAGGATGGAGATGATACACACAAATCCACCCAACCCCGCCCATTATCATCCCTAACCACGACTGGTATATGGGTAGAGTGTATAGTTCACATTAAAAAAACTTTGAAAAAGTGGAGACTCGATGCATAATCAGAAATCTATGATGAATCAAATAGCGTGACATTCAAAACATGTTAAAATGATCATAGTCTCATTGACTATCACATCTTTCATAGTCACTACACTATCCTCTCTATATCAAGTGAAATCCCTATATTCATTGATTCAAATTAAGATGAGTTGTGATAACCTCATTGACTATCACATCTTTCATAGTCAGTACAGTATCTCAACAAAGTTTTGAATGTGGTAGCGATCTTTTTTTAGATAGTGTAGTTGATGGCTTGTTTGGCTGCCTGGAGGGAGAGATTGTGGCTTCGACTTGGCGGTCACAAAACTGGAAATCTTGTCCATGATCTTCCTCGCGTTCTTGATCTTGAAGGCCCGCGACGTGGAACGCGAGACTTTTGTGCTCTTGTCTGCAACTTCTCCAAGTTTGTGGCTCAAGGGATCTAAAATAGAGGATGCAAACTTTGCACCTTGGTCGTGATCTCTTCTCGGCCTCTGGTTGCGAACTTTGCTCCCTAACCATGATCTTTTACATTCACCATTTTAGCACATTTTCCTTACACTTGAGCTCGATTTCCTTGACAAAACACTTAAAACGTGAAATGGTACTCAAAACGCTACCAAAACACAAGAGAAAGCATTTTTAGGCCAAATCAATAATTAAACGCTCCATGAACGCTCTAATTTGCAAGTAAACATCCAAGAGATGAGGCTACATAACACCAATTTAGGTGTTACCAGATTGGTACGGCCTGTCAATTTTCTGTCGTGCCGTGCCAACCCATTTTTCAAATTTGTTAGACCTGAGCACGACTTATGATCACTTCTAACAACAATAAACATTATTTTTGTAGTTTTATTTTATAATATTTGATCTTATAATTCTATTTATATTTATCTTTTATAAAAGAAGTGTTTTTTTATGTCATGTTGAGCTTATACTCAATAGAGTCTCAAAATCATTAAACTCAACATGATCCACTTATAGACTGTGGTGTGCCGTGCTCATGAAAATTGGGTCCGACACATCCCATTAATTATTCATGCTTGTGTCACACTAGTCCATATATTTCTTGTTCATGCTCTTAATATGCTCTAAGCATGTCATGTTAAGCTAGTCTGTGGACGATCTAGCCTGATGTCCAGGTATACCCCATGCCCCTTGAAAATAGCTAAAACAGGGTTAATTGCATGGTTGGTCACTGAGATTACAAAAAACGTTCATATTTGGTCACTAGAAATATTTAAATCCAATTTTGGTCACTAACTTTACAAAACCGGTTCACTTATGGTCACTCTCCGTTAGCTGCCGTCCAACGCCGTTAACGGCGTCCGTTAAGTGATGACGTGGCTGACGGATTCGCCTAATCAACACCTTTTGACCCGAAAATTGACTGACCCGACCCGCCACGTCATTTAAACCCTCCATGTCAGCTAAACCTAACCAAACCTCTAACCAAACCAGACCCGACCCAACCCACCAACGAAAACAACCCACCCGCCACTAAACAAAACCTAATTTCTAAAACTCTTTAGCCCCCTTCTCCATCCCGCGTCGCCTTCATCTTTCCCGTTTTTCTTCCTCTCCACTCGTTTCATCGGCAATGAAGGAGAAATTGAGCCCGCCACTAAACAAAACCCAACGTGTACTTCCCCACCCACAACTCCTCCATTTTAGGCTCAATTCAATTCCTCTAAACCATCTCTCTTCTCATCATCATTAATTCTTCCCCCATCCATAGCACACAACAAAACAAGAGAATGAAGCTCAACACAAAGGCGCCATACTCCCGCCATAGCCACCACCACTATTTCATCCTCTCCTCCATCGCCTTCATCCTCTTCTTCTGCCTCCTCGCCTCCATCAACGAGGTCCAGTTCGACCACCTCCTCAACCTCGGCCATTGCAAGTGCAACGGCTCCATCATCTCCACCACCACCAACAACGCCGCCATCACCAACTCCTCCTCCTCCGCAAACGCTACTAATACCGTCGCCGTCGCCGCCGATGATGAGATCCGGATCCTTATTGGGCTCCATTCCTCCTTCGTCGCCGATGAAACGAGTCATCGATGAAATGAGCGGTGAGGAAGAAAAACGAGAATGATGAAGGCGGCGCGGGATGGAGAAGGGGTTGAAGAGTTCTAGAAATTAGGTTTTGTTTAGTGGCGGGTGGGTCGTTTTTGTTGGTGTGTTGGGTCGGGTTTGGTTTGGTTAGAGGTTTGGTTAGGTTTAGCTGATATGGAGGGTTTAAATGACGTGGCGGGTCGGGTCGGGTCAGTCAATTTTTGGGTCAAAAGGTGCTGATTAGGCGAATCCGTCAACCACGTCATCACTTAACGGACGTCGTTAACGGCGTTGGACGGCACCTAACGGAGAGTGACCATAAGTGAACGGGTTTTGTAAAGTTAGTGACCAAAAATGGATTTAAATATTTCTAGTGACCAAACATGAACGTTTTTGGTAATCTCAGTGACCAACCATACAATTAACCCAGCTAAAACAACTATTCTAACTCATTTCATTCTCAACTCTCTCATGAACTAACTCACCCACAATAAGCACATGACTCAATTAAATTGACAAAGTGGCCAGAACTAAAACCCAACCCAACAATCAACCCTACAGCAACAACTAGTGTAGTACTGATCCAACACTTATCACGACTATGTTATGGAAAATGTTTCACAAAAGTATGTTTCTTGCCACACAAGTCATATATAGAAATCGACACATGCATAAACAACGTTCGAGCCAATAGAATTCACTATTTCTCCTTAAGGAATTTAGTTCCCCTCTACGGTACCCAAGGTTATTGGAACTATTCCTCCTAGGATAGAACGGACGTACCTTTTCTGGCGTACCGGTACTTGAAACACCAGAACCCGACGAACGCAACGATCGGAGAGAAGCCACACGACTCTGTTTTCTTTATGAGTTTGTAGATAGGAAATGCAATGAAGAAAGAAAATTTCTTTTTCTTTTGGCCAGAAAAATTTCTTGGGAAAAACTTGTGTGGAAAACAGAGGGGGTAGGTGTTTATTTATAGACAATGAAGGGTGCGAGTGAAGGAATGTGACCCTTCAAGTGGGTGGTTACACCCCAACAATTGCAATGGTTCACAAAAAAATGCCAACCATTGCATCGGTTCGCCATAGTAGTTGGACCGGTTGGTTCATTCCAACCGCCACATCGGTCCGGTCCGATTCGGTTCAACTTGGTTTAACCAATAACTCACCAACTATTGGCTTCTTCCCCTTTCATTCTCATTCACACCTTTCAAATCCCAACAATCCCCCACATGAAAGAGAATGCTAAGTTTTGAAAACTATGCAAAAAACTGTGTGACTCTCAACTAAGAATTAGTTGTATTAGGATAGGTGGGTTTCCCTTTGAATCTTCCCTAGTGAACATATATCGAGTATACTCACCAATCGGTAGATATGATATCTTTGAACCGCCGGTTTTCTTGTATACTAAGACAACATATGTCACACAATCAACTCTTATCCGTTCGTTGGTTCTCATTGTTGT